CTATACGGCATTTTTAGATAGCTTCTTTGATGAGTTTCCTGATGCTGTGTCGTTTTGCCCAGGAGACATTTCAATCGTAGATCTTCCCTTCTTTATTTTGAACTAACGGCCTAGATTAAAACCCTTTATCTTCCTTCTTTTTAAATATTCAATGGCTTTTCATTTTGTCTTTTTACTTTACACTGTTTTCTCTCAAAGCACCAAGGAATTTCGAGCACGCCTTGTCTGTCGTTTGAGTAAGGTCGTCCTTTGAGTTCCCAGGCATTCCTTCGCTTCTTCACTTAGTCTGTTTCTTTTGTTCTTTTTCATGAGTTCGGACTAGTCGAGGGTTCAATCCTGGGAAAATCAACAGGAAGAATCCGTCCCTTCTACTTCTAGTTCGTCCTCGGGGTGTAGAGAGATTTTTATTCTTGTTCCTATTTATGTTGCTAACCCTGTTACTTTGGCCCGTCCTAGGAGATGGGGCGAGATAGGGTAGACGAGGAGGTGGGTTCCCCTATGGGTAGTGAAGGGAATGATCCGTTGGAGTGGGGGGCTGGTTGTTACAGGTTGATAGTTACAGGTGATATGTTAGCTAGTTGGAGGACAAAATATGATATTTCGAGTTCGGTAATTATGATAATCCCTAAACCATCTGAGCGTGCTGACGCTCTCCCTATGGGATGTGTCACATTGAATTCTACCATCCTTCAAGTCGGGCTGAGATTACCTATTCCTAGGGTTATCCATAAGTTCTTGTCTTGTTGGGGCATAGCTCCAACCCAGTTATGCCCAAATGGGTGGCGGACTATCATCACCACGCTTATTCTGTGGGATAGATTAGGTAACCCTGAGCTTACGGTTGAGCAGTTCAACTCTTTATTTACTTTTAAGGAGGATTGGAAGAACTCGGGTTGGTGGTACACAAGTGTTAGGCCAAGGACGGGAGGTTCTTTGGTTTTAGACACCCCCTCATCGATTAAGAAGTGGAAGGAAGAGTGGTTCTATGTGTCCGGGGAGTGGCAGTTTCATTTTGCCGAGGTGAATAAGGACGACGTGGTCGCAGCGCTTTGTCACTCGTTATGTAAGTAACTGCCTCTTGGTGTTTTGATCTAGATTGTATTCCGAGCGGCTCTAATTGATATCATGTTACTGTGCAGATTACAAGAGGTCTACACTAAAGAAAGATACTCAGAGGCCAGCGGAAGCAATTCGTGCATTGCCGAAGAAACAGAGATCTTGCAAATTTTTGCTCTCGAATTCCAACCTTTTTTAGGCCAGCTTGATTCAAACCAGGGTGCCGGGGCCTTCCACCGTCGCAGCTTCTATATCGGTTCCGACCAATTCAGGTAGATTTTGATTGGTTTATTGAGGTGATATTTATTAGAATTGAGTACTGACATACTTTTTTTGTTTACAGCTCACAATTCAGAAATGTTGGGATACAAGGCGGCAAAAGCTGCGGCCACAGCGAAGGCCAAGAAGAGGGATGTCCCAGAATGGGATGAAAGCCGTTCTGAGGAAGTAGAGGACGAGGTCCCCTTGAAGAGGAACCGTACTGGTATGCTGCCCATACCAAGGGTCCCTGAAGTTGATCCTGCGTTGAGCTCTTCTCCTTTGGTGGCCATTACTTTGTCGTCTTCAGCTCATACCTCGCCACCTCCTGGGGCACCTGCTTTCACTTCGACTAGCTCATTAAGGATGCAGGAGAGGTGCCCGGACTTACAAAGGCCATCACTGGACAGTCTACTAGGCCACCGTCCAGAGATCTTCCTGGATTACTTGCAAGCTCCATCTCCATCGAGGGAGGTTACTGCTTCATTTCCCCCACTTCTGCGTGATTCTGCAAACCTGCTTACCAGGAGTTGGAATGAAAGGGAGCAAGGCTTCCTTAATGAGATGTCCATAGGTGAGTCCCTAGTGACTGCTCAACTCCACGGCTATCGCTCTATCCTGCACATGACGACCGTAGCTGATAAGGTTTTTTCCTTACTTCATTTTATTTGATGATTTACATATTTGCGAGGTGCTTAACTTATGGATTTTAATGTAGGTGAAATTTGAGCTCAACAAACTGATGGAGGTCAAGGATCAGGCCTTGAATTTGTATAATAGCATGGAGGCTGAGAGAGCTCAGTTTGCAATAAAAGAAAAAGAATACGAGGAGAAGCTTAATATGATGGGATTTGAGTTGAACTCGAGGCTGGAGATGGAGGAGAAGTGGATGGGGGATATTAGAGCTCTAAGGAAGGAGGCCGATCGTAGGGCTGAGGTTGAGAAGAAGAGGATTGAGGAAGATAGAGTTCGGACAGAGGAGGCTGTGGAGAAGGTACGGGAGGCAAATGAGAAAGCAAAAAAGGCGATGCGTAGAGCTGAGCAGGCTGAATCTAGGGCTGCGAGGGCAGTGGAGACTTGGAGGTCGTCCTCCGAGTTTAATGCTCTTGCTCAGGATTCGATTACATCGTGGCTCTGGAAGAAGTAGTAAAACACATTCGCAGAGAAAGGCCAGGGTTCGACGTGGGTTTCCTTGAGGAGACTGTGGAAGAGCAGAAGGAAGAGCTTCAACGTTTGTCGAAAGCGGCAGGGGTTCGGATTTCTCCTGCTAATGAAGATAATGTCGCTCCTCGTGAAGACCTCCCTTCCCCTAGCTCTTCTTAGGACATTTTTTGGATGTGTGATGAATTTGTTAAACTTTATGGATATCTTGTTTGTGCTCGAAGATGAGCCGTACTCTATTTTGAATGCTTATGAAAATGTATGTTTTTTTTTGTGGGGTCTAAATTTTATTGCTTATTTCATCCTTTCGTGAATTTTTAATGATTGAATGTCTTCTAGTCAGCGTATGTGACAAAACTCGTAAGTCATGCAAACCTAGATCGTCCTGCACATGCTGCTGGGCTTCGTAGAATTTCCAAATAGGAATTTTTGCTAAGGGTCGTAGTATTTACGACCTTAGATCAGCCTGCATATGTAGCAGGGCTTTGTAAGATTCCTTAGAAAGAATGTCTACTAAGGATAACACGTACAACCTTAGATCGGCCTGCGTAAGTAGCAAGGCTTTGTAAGATTCCTTAGGAGGAATGTTCACTAAGGGTCGCAGCACTTACGACCTTAAATTGGTCTGCGTATGGAGTAGGGCTTTGTAAGATTTCTTAGGAGGAATGTCCACTAAGGGTAACACGTATAGCCTTAGATCGGCCTGCGTATGTAGCAGAGCTTTGTAAGATTCCTTAGGAGGAATGTCCACTAAGGGTCACAACACTTACAACCTTAGATCGACCTGCGTATGGAGCAGGACTTTGTAAGATTCTTTAGGAAGAATGTCTACTAAGGGTAACACGTATAACCTTAGATCGGCCTGCGTAAGTAGCAAGGTTTTGTAAGATTTCTTAAGAGGAATCTCCACCAAAGGTAACACGTACAGCCTTAAATCGGCCTGCAAAGTAGTAGGGCTTTGTAAGATTTTTTAGGAGGAATGTCCACTAAGGGTAACACGTACAGCTTTAGATCGACCTGCGTATGTAGTAGGGCTTTGTAAGATTCCTTAGGAGGATGTCCACTAAGGGTAAAACGTACAGCCTTAGATCAGCCTGCGTAAGTAGCATGGCATTATAAGATTCCTTATGAGGAATGTCCACTAAGGGTCGCAGCACTTACGACCTTAGATTAACTTGTGTAAGTTGCAGGGTTTTGTAAGATTCCTTAAGAGGAATGTCCACTAAGGGTAACACGTACAGCCTTAGATCGGCCTGCGTAAGTAGCGGGGCTTTGTAAGATTTTTTAGGAGGAATGTCCACGAAGGGTAACACGTACAGCCTTAGATCGACCTACATATGTAGCAGGACTTTGTAAAATTCCTTAGGAGGAATGTCCACTAAGGATCACAGCACTTACGACCTTAGATCGGCCTGCGTATGGAGCAGGGCTTTGTAAGATTTCTTAGTACTCTGAACAAGATGGTCAAAAATAGGAAGTCCATTTTCATTGGTGTAATTGACGTTACAAGTAGGCTTTATATGTCACGGACTTTTCTCGTTCATTGATAATACTGCTTGAGGTGTTCGGCATTCCAAGGATGGGGTAAGGGTCTACCCTCCTAGTTTTCCAGCTCATATCCCCCTTTTAGCAGGACTTTCATTATCAGATAGGGGCCCTCTCAATTCGGGCCCAGGCATCCACTGCCTACCTCTCTTGTGGGGAGGAATACTTTCCGTAATACGAGGGATCCTACTTTGAATTCTCTTTTTCGAACTTTTTGATTGTAGTACTTGGCGTTTCGCTGCTTGTAAATTGAATTTTTAAGTTCAGCATTGTTTCTTTTCTCCTCGGTTAGGTCGAGTTCCGTACGAAGAGCCATGTGGTTCCTTTCTTTGTCGAAATCAGTTATGCACAATGAGGGAATGCTGACTTCCAGTGGGATTACAGCCTCTACACTGAAAGCCAGTGAAAACGGTGTTTCTCCCGTGCTCGTCGTTATAGTGATGTGATAAGACCATAGCACACTGGGGAGTTCATCGGTCCATCCTCCTTTAAACAAGTCGAGTTTTACTTTCAATGTATGCTTAATAATTTTGTTATTGGTTTCGACTTGGCCGTTTGCCTGAAGATGGTTTGGCGTTGAGAAATATTTCTTAATGCAGAACTCTTCATAGAAATCTGAAAGTTGTGCATTGTCGAACTGTTTTCCATTGTCCGTTGCAATGGAGTGAGGTATGCCGAACCTACAGATGATTGATTTACACAAAAGTCGGTTGTTTTCTGTTCGGTGATCTTGGAAAATGGCTTTGCCTTGGCCCATTTGGTGAAGTAATCAACTACGACGATGGCAAATTCTACACCTCCTTTTCCAACAGGCATAGGTCCAATTGATCGACCCCCCATTTCGCAAAAGGCTAAGGTACTGTTACTGGGTTTAACTCGCGCGGTGGAATATTTATGATGGGGGTGAGGCGCTGACATTTGTCGTATCTTTTAACAAATTCAAGGGAATTACGTCTTATTGCAGGCCAGAAGTATCCTTGTCATATGATCTTGTGGGCTAGTGAGAGCCCTTTTGAATGGTTTCCACATATTCCTTCGTGAAGGTCTTGCAGGGCATGCTGAGCTTCTTTTTCGTTTAAACACCTTAACAAAGGTGTAGAATATCCACGTTTGTATAGAACATCGTCAATGAGTGTATACCTGGCCGATCTGATTCGAAGCTTTTTAGCCTTTGCAAAATTTTTGGGACATTTCCCGATTTTTAGGTAGGTGACGATCTCATCCTGCCAGGTTGGTTTAGGGTAGATCATCATATGGACCACTTCATCTAGCTCGATAGACGTTAGGGATATTCTTCCCATGGGGAAGCTATCAAATTCTTCAATTCCCTCACTGGTGGTTAGCCGGGCCAGTGTATTAGTGTGACCGTTCTGTGATCGGGGAATTTGCTTGACTTTGGTGGTGTTGAACCCTTCAAGTTTTTTTCTTACAACTTGTAGATAGTTGTCCATTCTTTCTTCTTTCGCCATATACACACCGTTGACCTGATTTACGACTAGTGGAGAGTCGCTGTGTATGATCATATCGGAGATCCCCAACCCTGAGGCCATCCTTTTGCCGGCAATGAGAGTTTCGTACTCTACCTTATTGTTTGAGGCTTTAAAGTCAAATGGAAAGGCTTCGCAGAATATGCGATGTTCAGGGCTGATTAATACAACGCCTGCCCCAGATCGTTCTCCGGTGGATGAATCGTGGACATAAAGTCTCCATGGGGTTTCTTTTTGTAGTTCTTCGATTGGGACGTTGCAGAACTCAGAGACAAAGTCGGCGAGAGCTTGGTCCTTGATGGAGGAACATGGCATGTATTTGATGTCGAATTGTCCGAACTCAACTGCCCATTTTACCATCCGACCTAAAGTGTCGGGTCTTTGTAGTGTTTGCCTTAATGGAGAGTTGGTAAGGACCTCAATGGGATGTTCCAAGAAATATGGCCTTAGTTTTCGCGCGGCCATCAGCAGGGTGAATGGCAATTTCTCTACTTGAGAATATCTAAGTTCAGCTTCGTAAAGTGCCTTGCTTACGTAATAGATTGGGCGTTGAACACCGTTCTCTTCTTGAGTTAGAACCGCACTAATGGCATGTCCTGAAACAGATAAATAAAGTTTCAAGATCTCGTCGGCCTTAGGTTTTGAAAGCAGCGGAGGCTGAGCTAGTTGTCTCTTTAGCTTGTTAAATGCATCCTGACATTCTTTGGCCCATTCGAACTTCTTTCCTCCTCATAACGTGTCAAAGAAGGGTTTGCAACGGTCCGCAGACTTGGAGACGAACCGGCTGAGGATAGCAATCCTTTTGGTTAAACTTTGTACCTCTTTAGGTTTAGTTGGAGGCCTCATTTGGATGACAGCTTGTATTTTTTCAGGATTTGCCTCGATTCGTCGGTTGTTCACAATGTAACCTAGGAATCTTCCAGAGCTGACCCCGAAAGCACATTTCCTTGGGTTCAACTTCATTCCATACTTCCTCAGTATATCAAACATCTCGGTCAGGTGCTGACAGTAATCCTTGGCCTTGATGCTTTTGACCAGCATATTGTCAACATACACTTCCATTATTTTCTGATCCGTTGGGAAAACATGGAATTCACTAGTCATTGGTAGGTTGCACTAGCGTTTTTTAGACCAAATGACATTACTCTGTAGCAGTAAAGACCTCTATCAGTTACAAACAAGGTATGTTCTTGATCTGGGCCGTACATCGTTATCTAGTTATATCCAGAATACGCGTCCATGAAGCTGAGTAGTTCGTGTCCGGCAGTGGCGTCCACCATTTGATCTATTCTTGGCAAAGGAAAACTGTCTTTTGGACATGCTTTGTTGAGGTTGGTGAAGTCTATGCATACCCTCGAATCTCCGTTGTGTTTTTTCACAAGGACCGGATTTGCGACCCACTTCGGGTATTTGGCCTCACGAAGGAAATCGTTATGCAACAGTTTTTACACCTCCTTATTGAGTGCTTCATATCTTTCAAGGTTCAGAGGTCGTCGTTTTTGCTACTTTGGCCGAACTGAAGGATCCACCTGTAATTTGTGGCATGCGATGTTTGGGTCTATTCCTCTCATGTCCCCATGATTCTAGGCGAAGACATCAAGGTTTTGTCTAAGGAAGGCCACAATTTCGTTTCGGGTGGATGGCTATAGCTCCCGCCCGACTTTGAGCTCCTTTGTTTGGTCCTTGGCACAGACTTGAACTCCTTCTAGTTCTTCGACGGGTTCTCCTCCTTCAATCCTAGTCCACGGGTCAAGTGGAATGAGCTCGGATTCTCATACGTTTGCCTTATGCACTCTCTAATTTTAAACCAACTTTAAGAAAAAAATGGCAATTTATTGTTTAAAAAAGATCACAAAATATGTTTAGAGAGTGTAATTATGCTTTGAGTTGTTGTATGAAATCACTTGCCCTTTACAAGAGTCCAATTCAACTATTTATACATAGTTTCAGCCGACATTACATCAAATCAGTCAAATTAGCAACAGTATCGAGCTCAGAACTCGGGTTGCCGGATTCTCTTGTGATTGGTCGATGAGGCCGGTGGCTATGTGTAAATATTTTCCCCAGATAATGATGACCTGCAAGGGGCTGGAGGTTGAGGACTTAAAATTGGTTGTTCCGGGCGGTGATGATGTCACCTGTGGCAAGTGTATTTGATTGATAGGGTGATGTGACAAGGGATAATCATGATATTTTTTTGAGATAACGGTGGGATTGTCCGACCTGGGAGTAAGGACTGAACTCATATTTAACTGAGGTGGAGTTAGCGAACTGTTTTTATTAGATCGGAGTTCGATGTCAACAGTTTTATTCATAATAAACCTGTCCATGGATAAAGTCTTTAAAATGGTCTATATCCCATGATGTACACAATGCAAATAATCGTGGGGGGGGGAGGGGGGGGGGGGGGGGGGGGGGGGGGGGGGGGAGGGAGACACATCAAACATAAATTTTTGTGCTCTCTATAGGTATGACATGTTAAATAAGGTATATAGACATCTCATATTTAGTAATCGTACTAAAAAATTAAAATTGTCCAAATATACTCTATATAACATAATGAACATGCTTCGCAAAGTTCAATTATCGTACATTATTATCACACCAACATGAATGGTTATAAGTGCTTCTTGTTAAGAATAAAAAATAATTAGGATGAATCTAAGCATAGACAGGATTCATATGTTTTTGTGAAGCTTGTGATTGGGGCTTATGCCATCTGTTGTAGGGTCCGATTCTAAAATAGAAATGGGTTTAGATATCTTCTCACTACATTACCTATAGCCTCAAATTAGGTGTCTTTTTTTATTCTTATTATTTTTTATTTAGAAACTTAAACTTTTAATCAGTATGCGAATCAATTGTTTTTTTTTTTTTTTACAAAAAATATAAGCATTTTACCAATTTAGTGGTGTGGTAGAGCTAGTGTTTTCAATTTGGGGGGATGAAGCAAGGATTTTTTTGAGGTTTGAAGCACTAAGACTATTGACGAATCTGCAAAATTGTTGCGATGCTACTAAGCCCCTATTTGGGCATTATTAAAATTAATTTTTAGGAAAAAATATATTTTGAAATAGTGATTTTTTGAAGAATGTGCGGTTAAAAAGAAAAAAAGTTTTGAATTTACATATAAAATTCATTAAAATTAAAATAGAGCCCAAATTGAGACTAAGAACAATGGTGTGAAGTAATAGAATAGTGATTGCAATTTGTTTGGGGCAAGATAGTTCATCCACAGAATCAATTCAACTTTTTTTTTTTTTTTTGCCCATTAATTTTGATTTACACAATACCAATTAATTAATTATTATTAATGCCTACTGTAATAAATGAAGTTTGACTCACTTAATACCTAGAGGGGGTGAATATGTGTAGTATGCAAAATTTAATTTTACTACCATTAACTTGCAACACGTCAAAAAATTTTAAATCTGGATGTATCGAAACTAATTTGTAATACGACAATCATAAAATAACATAAGTAAATGTGTAAAAGTAAATATCACCGAAAATTTTATGAAGGAAAAATTCTTGACGAACTTTTCAAGAGAAAAAACCTTCTAGCCCAGCAAATGATCCGTTAAAAAGATGAACTTATAGATATGGTTCAGACACAACTAATTAGTAGACTTTGACTCTCAATCTGTAATTATTGAAGAACTTCTCGATTGTGCGTTCTTACACAGCTTTAGAATCTCTGGACTTCTTTTTCCCTTGTAGATCACCAAAAACTCATTTTTAGCAAAATTCTGGTCATCTCTCATCATCATTAGGACTTTGAAGGATATTTGGTAAGGGTTTTGTGGTGTTTTGATTTTGTAGTTGAGACAAGAGAATAGATTGAAAAATTTGTTCTTCAGTAAGATCTTCTCTTTACACGTAGTTGAGAATTCTCTTTACACGTAATTATTCTCAACACACAAGAGACTAAGATTTTCAAAGCGTATATATAGTATTTGAAAGTTCTAGGTCGTTTGGGATTGTTTAAAGCTAAAAATTTTGAATTAGGGTTTTCCCCATAGATAGACCACTCAAGCGCTCCTTGGGCAATCAGTTATTGGACTAGCCGCTCGAGCGTTCACATGGCATTCTTCAAGTAGTTTTTGAACATTGCTCGACCTTCTTGAGTAGAATTGAGCACTTTCAAAGACACTTTCAACAGCCAACAACTCAACCCCAAATACAACTCGATTAAATAATGTTTGGACATAGAACTTTATAGGTTTAGATCTAACAAACTCCCCCTTTAACATTCCATAACAAAATCATTTATTACATAATACACAATGATCAAATTCTAATTCCTACCATGTTTAAATTTGACTAACCGAAAAATTCCCATAACCACACTCTATCTTAATTGTTTTGTCATGCCTATTTCCTGGAATACAACTCAAATAAACTAGGAATCCTTCTTTTAAAAAATTGCTACAATGTTTAAATGTGTACTGATTGTTACTCATCAAGTGAGCATACAAAGAACAAGAAATTGATCATGCATTCGAGTATGAACAATGAAAAATGAGATCATCCCATACGATTTGCTCTACAACTTATATAGAGTACAAGTTATAATAGATCAACACGTGTATTGTGCCGCTAGCAATTTATGCGCAAGACTTAAAATCTTAATTTTGTGAGAAGGAACCTGCAAAGTGAAATTATTGATGAATGAATATTTTTCTCAAATAATGAAAGGCAAAACAAGGAGCTACTAGGACCTATTAAATTAAGATAGCTCAAATTAATTCTTTGTATAACCTTTTTTTCCTCCCTTACCTATGAGCACATTTTGAAGCTCATAAAAATATTTTGAAGCTCATTGTTGCTGCCTTTATTTCAAACTTGCATTTTTCTTTCAACAATTATTTTATTTTATTTTTTTACGTGTTTCTGTTGACACTTGGGGAATATACCAAAGCTTATGTCAACTCACATTGAAGATCAGTCCACCACACCTATGACCGCCATCCAAATATCACACATGCAGTCATTATTCAATTACAAAAAATTAGTATGTGTAGTGAAAAGGGAGATGAAGTAATCTAAGCATGTTCTAGAATTAGTTAATGGAATTTTTTTGCTACTTTTCATTCAACTTACAAGTACACATATCACAAGACATCACTTCAAAGTGTTACATTGATAAAAATAAAATAAATAAATAAATAAATAAATAAATAAATAATTTAACAATTTTTATTATTTTTTGATAAACATAAAAAAACAAAACGATGAATTAACCAAAAAATAAATAAATACATAAATAAACGAATTAATTTGCATGCAAGAAGAAGTGAAGAACATGACCTAACTAATACATGCACTACTACTCAAGGAGTAGAACAATTATAAATGGTTGTCTGAAGAAATTCAGTAATATGATTATCCAAAGGTTTGATATCAATTGGTTGTCATTAGAAACGTGGTCAACATCTTTAGTAAGTTCATTTTTTACAATCTAAACCTTCCTAGAAGAAGAGGTTATCGTAGTGAAGGAAGTCATCATATCAGTCAAATGACTAACTTGATTAGTTAAAAATTTAACTTAATAAGTGATGTCCCCTTTATTGTTCCTAACTAAGAGTTTGTGACACATGGGTCTTGTCTGATCTAACTCGCCATAGTTGTAACATTTGGGAAAGAACCTAGGGACAACACTACGTTTCCAGTTTAGGACTTTAGGTTGAGTAACCTTATATTGAATATACGATTTCTGTCCTTGGATATCCCTTTTCTTGGATTCATTGAATTTTAAACTCTTGGTTTTGATAGAGACGGGTACAAAGGTGGTTTTAGATAAGGTAGTGGCATGATAACTTGCTTAATTATATCTCTAACCTCTTATACTTTCAGTTGATCTGTTTAGTTCTAAGATGTTGTCAAACTTCTTAGAACCACTGGACAAACTTCGACATTGTGCTTTGGATTTCACAAGCTCATTCACAAGAATCTTAACCATATTTCTAGAAGCTCTTTCTCAACCTTCAACTCATTCATCCTTCTAGTTGACTCCTCAAGTTTGACTACTAGTATAACGCCTCGAACTCTTTTTCATTATTATTGTTATTTTCAAATAAAAAATGAGCTCAAGGTGCTACCAAAACTTTTCTCTATCTAATTTAGGCGGAAACATATCGAAAATATTTGATTTCAAATTATTAAACAACATAATAAATATCGTGCATAAATATTAACAAAAAGATATTCTTTATATAAATTGACTATTGTCTTTTCTAGAAATTTTACTTGACGACCACATTAGCGTCGCTCCGTCAATCTTCCACACGTCCTCACGACCCGTTCTTATCTGAAAATATTGTAAGAGTGAGTATTTTGAAAACACTCAGTAAGAATACGTGCACATCCTTTTTCACATGATATAAATATAAAAATAGCATAATATACCAACATTTCTTAGGAATTTCTTAAGAATCCCCATATCCCGTAGGATTTAATTTCTATTTTTTGACCTGACGGTCCATCCCGAAAGATTTAACATAGCATTCGACCCGAAGGCCTCCTCATAGTATCTCATGCCAGAATTTACATATATATCAAGGAATAAGAATTTACCACTTGCACCATGTATTCTTACC